TTTAAAGTAGCACAAAACTGGAAAGTCAAACAGCCAATTCCTTTCATATTGCACTTTTCATTAGCGCCTGAGCAAATTTCTTGGCTAAATGTTTGACCTTACATTAGATCTTCTTTTTCCTCTAAGCCCATTTGCCCCAAGACGAGCAAAATCCACTGACAACTCCCCACCAGCGTGATCTGAGTTTGCCATTTATGTTTGTGTAATAGTTATGGGCTTGTTTTTTTGCTTTAGACATGTTAGCTTTAGAGGTGGTTCAAATTTGTCTGGCGTCTACCCTTTGACCTGTTCAACCTGGGTATCCCTACCAGGAGCCTCTGCTCCCACTGGCACAGCTCTCCTGGTCATTGAAGCACACAGGCTACATTAGTAAACATGTGAGGAAGAGAAGGGAGGAGTTCTCTGTGCATGTAAACGGAGCCACACTAAGCCAGCCTGACTGGACTCAAACATTTTGTACATACTCAGTGAGGTGGGCTTAGGTGTCAGACCCATACTAACACACAGTGCTGTACCTGTAACCTGTAAACTCATAGACTGTTACTGCTGTACAACACGTGGCTTTAGTCTTGTATGCGTTTCTAAATCCTCCGAGAGAAGATTTGATCCGCCTGCATGCCTTTCTCCTCCAGTACAGTTACTATAGCGATATAAAGACGGTGTAGTCTTCTCTGTTCAACTAGCTCTTCATCTCCGCACATATAGCCCACCATACAAGTGACAAATTTGTACCAAAACGAGAAACTAAATGAGAGAATGTATTAAGGAATTGCACTGTATTAGCATCATAGAGGTTTGTGTGTCCACCGGGAGGCTCTCTTTGCAAAGACTGATGGGTAGAGTTTCAAAGGCAAAGTTTTAAAGCTGCTACCAGCTGATGTTTCGCACCAACATTCAGTCCCTTTTAATCATATCATTTGCACTGTCCTTATCCATTAATGCGATTCTTTTAAAACTGGAAATGCCTCATTAAGTCAATTACCAAACAAGACTCTCCGCTAAAAGCCGGGCTGATGCATTTAGTTTTGTCAACCGTGTAGCGTTCCAGCACAACTTTCAGAAAATGTGCTTTTCGGCTAATAAAACAGATAATATTAGTAACCCATCATCCAACAGCCGGCTAAGGCTCTTAGCCAGTGATAATGTCATTTAGTAATGCAGGAAAACCTTTCAGTTTTAAACAAATGGTCTCTGAAAACAAAGAGGGACTAACGTGGACATTAACATGTAAAACTGGGAGAGTCTTATACTTTAAAATTTGAAACGGTGTAACTACACGTAGAGTCTCTTATGTTGGAAGCTGTAACAGGTTTTATAAAACACTTTTGCAAACTGTATAAATCCACAGTCACACCAGCCTAAAGACCAATAGGAACCCAAAATAATGTGCGTAGAAGAATGCACATTTTTCCAGAGGGACCGGTGGTGTCTGAGGGGCCGCCAACTGATCTCTAGCAACCTATAATTGGTTATCTCATAACATAAGTATCTGTAACATGATATATTCACAGTAATTATGAGTAAAAGGTCATTTTGGACCAGGCTAACCTATAGCTAGGGTGACCAGATCCCAAGAAACTGAATGTGAGGGACACGTCAGCGATGCTGAGAGGTAGTCTGAAACGTTCATATCCAACCACAAAATAAAAATACAATAAATTGTTCATGTTCCAACTCTCCCAGTAAGTAAATACACTACTGAAAAAGAAAGCTCAAGTTTGTTCTTATGCTATGATGTGATGGGCTTTATATACTCCTGTATTCTTCTTTTTTATGTCTCTCTTATTCCAGTAGTTCTGTTTGTATCATTGCATAGATTGGACAAGGAATCAAAGTGCTGCACGGTCCCACATAAGGAGGGGCTTCTGGTCACCCGAGTAGGTTTGGCTTATTATTTTACATTAGTTTCATCACCGGGTTTTGCTTAGAGATTCCTTCTTTCGTCTGCATTTCCATGAACATTTCTTCTAACGTTGACTGAAAAAGTTGAGTTTTTGCAGTTCATACATGACTTTAAACTAAACTTTAAAACACCACCTCGCTTCAGTTCTGCTAAAAAGGTTTCAGAACACCGAGAGATGAAAATCACAGAAATCCAAATCATTTAGATGATATTAAAAACGATTAAAGATATCAACGTTCAAAATGATCAATTCCACGACAGCTGAGCAGCCAGCGGCTCAAATAAATGGAAACCTTGACAAATGATTGCGATGTGTTAATCAAAAGTGGAAGGTTTGAGTTATCAGGGAGCGACACTGAATGATCAGTATTACAAACTAAGAAGTAAAGCCTAACTCTGGACCCAGCAGGTCAGTCTGACTCCACAGTCTTCCACTAGGGACGCAGGAGCCGATGTGATGCGTCACATCTATGGAATCTCCCACAGAGGCATCGCATTGGTCCACATGTTGTTTATATCACACTGAGGATTGATGGGTCAGCCTCTCATGATCTTTAAACTGTCTCTGTGTGACAACGAGCTGCAGGGAATGGAAGTGCCTGATGTTGCCTTTTTTTTTCTTTTGTCTGTGGAGCTTTTAGGGCTAATATTTCCCTTTTACACACACACATTAACACACCTTTCCCGTCCCAGTTTTTTGTTTGGTTGTTGTTGTTTTTTTTGTTTCTGTATGTCTGGATTTCACCATCCTTCAATGATGTTACTAAGACTTGAAAAACAAGGCAACGCGAGGAGGAAGCCGGAGAGGAAACGTGTATTTTTTGGTGGTTATTTTTCTACAGTGACCTGAATGTATATTTATTCTTTGAGGGTGTATTTGTCACTTCGATGACCAACAAGGATAGTTTTTTATACAGTTTGTGATAACCACCGAGCTCATGCCATACTTCAGTGTTGCTGACATGACGTAAAAAGCACCTTGGATTTGACGTTGCCTGACGTGGTTGCTCGCGCTGCTTTCGTCCACCACTGAGCGAAGAACCTTGCACTTTATTGTGATGTAACCCTACAGATTACATGCTCCGGTCTATGAAGTGTCATCGTGTATAAACTATTTCTATGGTACTACTAAAATAAATGTTGCTCATGTTTAATATCATTTGAAGTCAGCCTCTTGATTATTTACAGTGAGACGAGTGACTTTTTCCAGGTGCAGTTTTGTGTCTAAAGGTTATAACAGATCTACAGTGGGTCGACATGTGGCGTCACTTTAAGTGAACTGAAGAACTGAATACGAGGTAAAGCTCTGTCAGAGAGCCTCCATGGCTTGCATGTAAAAGGCACAAATAGATCTTAAAGCATTTCTCAACTTAAGCCTTCTTAAGGTAATGGACACAAGTTACAAGACCGACGGGGAAGAGAAATTTAATTTATTTAAAGGTACAGTCAGTCGTTTTTAGAGTTTGAGTAAAAATAAATATAGATTAATTAGTGCTTAATTCCATCTTCCAACAAGTTGAGGCATTCTCATAAACTTAGACTTAGGAGCAGCTGCTGGTGTGTGGAAGCCGCCGTGTTGAATACAGTGGCTGAGATGGACATCGCTGTTCTGTGTAATTGCTTTTTTTGTTTGTGGCTTATTAAGCAATTAACGTAAGAGAAGAAAACTCATTTATGTGCCATAGAGGCAAATTTTAATGTGTCTGCAACTTCAGACTCAAGATATGAAGTTTAATATTTTATCATCTGAGAATGGCTCCCCTTCAGCTAACAAGTGAAAAGACTAAAGAAAGACTTATTGTATTGGACTCATTTCACAAAGGTTTACAGCCTGTTCCAGAGTAAATATACACAGCAGACTGACAGCGTAGACTCACTGCAGGTGCAGCTGGGATTACCTACTTGAATTGGCAGAACAGAGTTCACGTGACTGCAATCTACTGCTATCTAGTGGTGAAATTTTACTCAGTGTACCATTAAATATATATTTATATGTCCTATTCTTTTCTTAGAAAAACCTAAATTGTTGTACTTAATTTATAGTCATATTACATTGACTTAAATGGTTATACTTTTCTACTGCAGACATGGTCTGTGATATCTCTAATACCATGTTTAGGAATAACGTTGGGGGACGTTCAAAAAATAATAACACAGAGGTTTTTTAAGAGCAGATTTCAAGTTTAAACTTTGTTTCTTTGACTTGATAGTTTTCACATATTTAGACCATTGACTGTATCTAAATGATGGATGCAGCCATTCTCCACAAACAATTGTTGGTTTGTGGAGAATGATGATGAAAGCTCAGGTTTAGCATTTTTTCCATCTCCATATTTGTTTTTGGGTTGTTGTTTTTTTAGGTATGCATGTCCATATTTGATTGAGAGGGTAGAGCCAGAGATTTATCAGCTAATCTTAGCACAGTTTAGACAGCTTAATTAGCAAATTGCATCTTTAATTTACTGCATTTTATTTGAACTTACTGTGATGCTAATTTAGGCTAGTAAAAACAAAACCAACAAAAAGCTCTTACTGGAGAACTTGGAAAAGCTGATGCATTTGCATCACTTTGCACAGCACTGTGATAAAAAAAAGCCATTAAAAACAGTCATTCCCCTAAGATGCTTAACTTCAAACCATAAGTAAATACATTATTCTTACCTACACAGTTGTGGTCTGTAAGGAAGGAACTTGGAAAAAACAAATCTCAGGTTTAAAACTCTGGACAGAATAGTTTTTTTGAAGGCAGCTTCAAATGACAATTCAAGAACTCCAGTTTGGCACTTAGTACAAGATATAGTAAATTTTAAGGATTATATACACGTATTTGAGAGTTTGAAAAATATCTGACAATATCTGATCTTTTAACAGAAAACATGCTGACACAACTTCCTTCTAAAATGCTAGAGCTGAACAAACTCGCCCCCACAGGATGACAAAACAATTTTCAGTGGCAAAAACCCTTTAAACCTCTTCATCACTTAAATGTGGAATTTTTTAGACTTATTTACTGTCCATCTTCAAATGGCACAGGCTTCTGACTGATGCGCAGATGCATCATATTGTCATTAATAACAGACCGAGAAAAAAAAAAGTATTTTTTCCCAATGGTACAAACATACTTTATTGTACAATTAATTTATTGGCAAAAACAAAAACAATCAGACCACCGAAATAACTTAAAAGAAACTAATGAAAATGGAGCAACAGTTATTTTTGCTTTCTCTCAGCAAGCACCAAAACTGTTAACAAGAACAAAAAAGAGAAGAGAAGAGAAGAGAGTGGTCAAAGATTCCATTTGAATACTAAACAAATATTTAAATAGTCTTACTTCCAGTCTCTTTAGGAAAAAGAAATGATAAAAACAAAACTATTTGTTCAGTTGCCATCAGTTTGTACAGTGATTCAGTATGTTTACAACTATATTCATGTACATGAAACATTTCTTCAAAACAACCAAAAAGAAAAGAAAAAAAAGGATGGTATAATATACTCCAAGGCCTCCCCAGGCGAACTGAAAGACTGTCTGCAGGTTCTTTTTGCATCACCATAACATCTTTAATACAAAAACAAAGCATGTTTTATCTATTAATTCCTGTAGCTTCAAGTTTTATTTCCAAAAAATAAAATTAAATAATATATCTATTTATAAAAGACAGTTTTTCCTTGTTTTTTTTTTTTCTTATAAAATAAGTCTCAAGATATATTGCCACCTGGTTTCTGATGCGTTCCCTTCCCCATACCCAGCAAGCCCGACCTTTAAGAAAAATAGTGAGCATGTGAATATTGTGTCTTCAGTCCTCTCCATAAAAAGCTAAATGACCAAATTTGAACTCTTAAGTCACACCTCTAACCGACCCCAGCTTCGGCTCATCGTCGTACAGGTTTCCTGTCTTAACTGCTGAGATTGTTTAGGTGTGTGACTCGGTTGCTATAGCCTCCCTAAAACCTTACACAGAAAAAGGCGCATTGGTGCTTGTGACCGACTACACCCCATACTGTACATTATAGAAAACAAAACAAAACAATACTGTACAGTAGCTCAGGAGCACTTTTTTTCAAACACATACAAGCAAATATTCAATCAAACAAGAGGAAACAACAGCAGAAAATGTCTCTGCTCATAAGATTTTAAAGTATGTACACTTATTTTACATCTTTCACTTTCATTACAAAAGAAAAAACAAACAAAAACAGTATCCAAGTCCACCATTTCTTAATTTGTACAGTACTAACAGTGAATTAAACCTTGTGGCTGAGAGGCAGTCGTGAGGGTGTGGGATAGGGGGAGGATAAGGATGTAAGGAAAACCGTTGGGGTTCGGGATAAAGGCGGGTTTTTAGCGACCTCTTCTCCAGGTTACTGTTCATAAATGCAGCTGTAATATATGTACACACAACCTCTTTTTTCTTTTTTTTTAAATCATCAGCGAGCTTCAACAGCTATAATACAGGTATATAGTACGCAGGTTGTGGAGCAGGAGAAGTTAAGATGAAGAAAGTGTGCACATTCACAGGAGAAGTGCGAAGAGGCGGCCCCATAAGGAAAAAAACAAAAACAAAAGATCTTACGGTTTAATTCAAATTATAGAAACCCTGACGAAGACAAACCTGGGATAGCTGTCAAAAAATGTAAAAAATTAATCAAACTGCATTGAACACACCTTCCTAACCACCTACAAACCCAATAAATATACTTCTGAATCGCTGCAGTCACTGGAAAAAATCTACGTTTGTGTGTCCAGAAGAAGGGTCGGGTAACGGAAGATATGTTGATGCCTGATTAACGAATCGCCGAGGGCACGAAATAATAATAATTATAATAATATAGAAATAAAATAAACGTACTCTGCAAAATAGATACAATCATGATGGGTATTTGAGGAGAAAAAATAAAGGATTAAAAAAAAAAAAAAGTACATCATGTCAACTCTCATTTTTAGCAACATTTGAAATCTTAAAAATATTCATAAAAAGGCAAAAATTCTCAGTCCCCAAAAATATTGTCATATACTTAAAGAAGTAATATCTTCAACCTGAAACACTGACCTTCCACCTTTTTTGTACACAATTGGCAAAAATATATAGATATTTATTAACAGCAATAACTTACCATTGTTTTAATTTATTCAATTATTGACTTCTAAGATTGATGTTGCATCTCCCATAGGAAGGAAGCTTTCAGTTCATATTTATACATCAGAAAAATATTTAAATAAAAAATAAAAACTTCTAAAACCCCAAAGCTGCCCCGCTCTCCTTTCATGGCAGTTTGTCATTTGGGGCAACAGATCAGAGCATCACGACGGAGAGAGACAGTACAGAGTCAAGGCTACATCAGGTTGTGGTTAATGTTCGTTCCCAGCTCCTGGTTGTTGTTGTTGTTGCTGCCGCCGCTGTTGTTGTTCCCACCCAACATGTCTGACTGCCCCCCTTGTCCACCGTGCATCCCCGTCATCCCACTCAGCTGAGACATAATAGAGTTCTGGTCCGAATTGTACTGACTAGGATCTACAGAACTACCTGGCTGCTGTTGCTGGGGTTGTGGAGGTTGGGGTGGTGCCATGTTGGAGTAATGTTGACTGAGATGCCCTGGGTGGGGCGACCCACTCTGGGTCTGAGGGGAGATGCGGTGAGGTGAGGGCTGAGGCTGGGAGGAAGGCTGCATGCGTGGGGACGGGCTGGAGCGTGGAGGCTGCGACTGTGGCCTTGGTGAGGGCTGAGGGGACCGGACCTGACTGCTGAGCGATCCAGCTGGACCGAGTCCTCCTTGTCCCTGTAGGTGGTGATGGGGGGACTGGGCCATCTGCTGCTGGGGACTCATAGGACTGCTATGGTGGGCTGGAGAACCCCCTCCAAGGTGCTGCTGTTGCTGCTGCTGCAGGAGCCTCTGCTGGATATTTTGGGCAAGCATGGCTTGGGACGTCTGTGGCATTGGAGGGCCACCACCTGCACCACTCTGCGGTTGTTGCCCTGGCCCTGATCCACCTTGTCCAGGCTGGAGTGGAGGTCCTCCATCTTGTCCTTGAAGACCACCCATTTGATTTTGCTGCTGCTGCTGCTGCATCAGCCTGTGCTGGAGCACTGCAGCTACTTGTGACATCTGATAGCCTTGCTGGCCTAGCTGTCCTGGCCCACCTGGTGGTGGTCCTTGCTGCTGGGGAACCCCTACACCACCCCCAGGTTGGGGTTGAGAAGATGGGGTTATCCCTGGCTGTCCCTGGCCAGGCTGCATGAAGCTTTGCTGGCCTTGTTGCTGCTGCTGGAGTCCTTGAGGCTGCTGGAACTGGCCGTGGTTCCCCATTTGTTGCTGTTGTTGTTGCTGCAGTCTTCTCAAAAACATCTCTCTGAACTGTGGTGTCATATTGGCCATGTTCCCTTGCTGACCTGGTTGCATTGCTCCCTGTGGCTGCTGCTGTTGTTGTTGTTGCTGCTGCTGCTGCTGCAAAGTGGCCATTTGCTGTTGTTGCTGTAAGTTTCCTGGCAACATCGGGCGCTGCTGTAACTGCTGAAGCTGAGCCATGGTGGGCATATTTCTTCCCCCTGCTCCACCCTGAGGTATGTTCATCCCTGGCTGGCCTGCCTGGTTCACATTAACCTGCTGTTGTCCATCCATATTGGCAAGCTGGTTGGCTCCAGGCGCTCCTACACCAGGCAGACCTCCAGCAGCTCCTTGGAAACGCACACCTCCAGGACCTCCTTGCGGAGGCCCGCCTGCTCCTCCAGGGCCACCCTGAGCACCTTGATACCTGGCTGCTCTCTGCCGAATAAAAGCAGCCATGAGCGTTGGGTTGGAACGAAGGATGTTGAGGACTTGCTGCTGTTGCAAGACTGAGCTTGGGGACCGTAGCGCTCGCAGGAGATCTTGTAGTGCTGCCTGAGGCAAGTTCCCCGATCCAGCTACTAATGAAGCAGGTACCCCCCCTGCTCCTCCAATTGCCTGCATCAACCCTCGGTTTCCTGGTTGAGGCTGCTGCTGATTCAGCATTTGTTGCTGTGGTTGGGGAACTGCTGTCTGCTGCTGTGGTGTCATATGACCCATCATGTTTGGCCGTTGTTGTTGGTTCATGGTTGGTCCCCCAGCACCCCACTGCTGGTTTGTTGGCTGAAGCTGTCCACCTGGCTGGACCTGCTGCTGAACTTGAGGCGGCAATTGTGACGGAGGACCACCCTGTTGCATCCCTGCTAGCGTTCCTGGTTGCTGTGGATCTAACATAGTCCTTCCATCAACTCCCTGAGCCTGGAGCGGCATGCCCTGGGCCCCAATGTGGGGCATTCTCATCTGGGCCTGGTTGTTCTGATGGTGAGGATGTGGAGGTATCATGCCCCCCTGTCCCAAGCCACGCATGTGTGCTTGGGCATGAGCCATCTGTCTCTGGGTCTCTGCCAGGCGCTGGATTTTTAGTGCCGTCTCTACAGCAGCCAGGGGTGGCCCTTGCTGCTGGCCTTGGACACCCATGGACCCCTGGCCTTGATTGGGTGGTGGTTGTTGCTGAGGAGGGGTTGCTGGACCCATTCCAGGTTTCCCAAGGGGCTGATGAAGAGGAGGGACTCCAGCTGGTCTGGGGTTGTAGGGAGGCAAACTACCAGGATGTTGCTGCTGCTGCTGCTGGAGCTGCTGGAGATTTGGTGGCTGCTGCTGAAGCTGAGGTACCATCTGCTGCTGAGGAGAATTCATCATCCCCCCTCCACCTGCTGACGGAAACTGGTGGAGATGGTGTTGAGGGGGAATTCCACCACCTTGCTGTTGCTCACCTGGAGTTCCCATACCACCCATCCCAACCCCCTGCTGCTGGGAAGGTGCAGACATGTTACCCTGGGTAGGTGTCTGTGGGGTAGGGGGCTGCGTTCCCGATGTAGGGGTACCAGGACCAGTAGCTCCATTGTTGGCTCCAGGAGAGGGTTGTCCATTTCCCCCAGGTGCTCCTCCGGCAGCGGGCTGGCCCACTCTCTGCATGCTGGCCATTCTCCTTCTCAGCATCTGAGCTTGCTGAAGCCTGTGCTGCAGCTGCTGCTGGCGAAGCTTGTGCTTGATATTTAGACAGAAGGGGACTGGGCACTTGTTTTCCTGACAGTGCTTAGCATGATAACAACACAATGCGATAAGCTGCTTGCAGATGGGGCAGCCACCGTTGGTTTTTCTCTTGCATCCTTTTGTGTGCTGAACGACACGTTTCATCTTCTGGCAGGACGGCAGAGAGCAATTGGCATTTCGGCACTGGCATGCGTGGACGAGCGACTGGATACAGCGCTGGATGCTGAGGCGACGGGAATCTCCGGGACTCTGAGTGGCAGCGGCAGACTGATTGCTGCTCTCATCATCCAAGCCGAGGCCTAACTTCTCCATCTTGTGCTCATGTCCCTTAGTGTTGTAGCATGTGATGCAGAGGTCGTAATCCTAAAACAGATGACAATAGAAACAGTTAGAAATGTAACTTGGAGGTTTTTGAATAATTACAATAATAAAAATAATAATAATAATAATAATAATAATAATAATAAACCCAAACTCCACCTATTTTGCCCTGGGACAAATCAGACAAACCAAACACACCTCACTTCTCTTTCCAACTCACCTCACAAACAGTACAGTGGAAGCGAGTCTCCACGTGGTGTTTGCACTCATTGCACGTGTAAACGAAGCGGTCCTGGCTTTGGTTGTGCAACTCCACCAACATGCACGTTGAGCTCCACATGGACCTCCTCAGCGAGCTGAATTCAAGGTGCTTGTCTCGGGCCAGTGTCAGGAAAGCATCACGACCATCCATGAGGTCACATGCCATCAGGGGATCTGGGTCAGCAATAGGGGGCAAGGCATTTGCCATTGGGCCTGCAATCAGCCGAATCACAAAGAACACCTAGGAGAGGAAAAGAGAGGAGATCAGATGAAACGTAGTCTTTAAAACAGTTTCAAGTTTTTGCCAGCAGCTCACCCCCCAAAAATGGCAAAACCTCAAAATCCCCCACCCCACATACCTCTTTGTGTTTTTCCATAGTGGCATAGAGTTTCTGTGATAGGTCATTGGACACATTAGGCATCCCAGGCTTCTTCTTATTGGCTCGGCTCAGGCTGCTCTTGTTCTTACTAGTCTTTTTGTTGTTCTTCTTCTTTGCATTTTTGCTGTCTCCTTTTGTGTCCTGCACCAAAAAATTAAAAAAATAAAAAAAAATAAAAAGAATTGTGGTTTAAAACAAAACAATCACACTGATGAGAAACTGCCGTTTGCAACGCTAACCCTTATTCACCCCTCTTTCAATCAGTGCATTTAGATTCAACAACTACATTGAGTCGTTAATTCTTACATCAACACTCTCATTGGAAGTGCTGTTCTCCTCCCTTTTCCTCTCCTCCTCCTCCTGCTCCAGCTCCTTGATGCTCTCCTCCAGCACATTAGGCCAAAAGTCCCCCTCAAAGTAAGGCAATTCCTTGGCACTGGTCAAACGATCCTCTGTAGCCTGCTTGAATATATCCTTTTGGGGTAAACAGACAGTATTGTTATTACGCATGTATTATACAATAAAGTTTATCTTTACTCCTGTTCTAAACCCTCCAGAGGTCAAAGAATGCCTCTTTACCTTGTAGTCATGCACTATCCGTTCTGCCACAGCTTTATCCAGCATTTTCTTGTACCACTCCTGAAGGCGTTTGGGCTTCGGGATCTTCTGATCTGCAGGGTGACAGTGGAAGATGTAGTCGTCGCCTTCGCTAGGTGGGCAGGCCCAGATGTGGCCGGTGGTGTAGCTACGAGTTCAAACAAGAGAACACAAATCAAACACCTACTGGACAAATTAAACTATATCAAAATAACAACTTTTTATAAGAATTTGTGTAGCCCGGAACAAAATAAATGTTTTGTCTTGTAGCAGCACTCACCCCAATTTCTTCACGTACTCCAAGTAGCCAATGAGTATTTCATGGTAAACTGCTGTTCTTAGACAGCGCGGCCGAAAGAAGTGTACGCTATCCAGGTAGGAGATGTACACTCGCCTGAGTGGATGAAAGAAGAAAAAATGTAACTTAAAAAAAACATTGTGTCAAAACTGCTGAAACTGCATTTTAAATGATTCCAACATAGAAAAACAATAAGTTCTTGGTAAAAGTTTAACAATATGGTGATATCTTTACCTCTGGTTGGGCTGAGGGCAGTCAGATCCATACTCCTGAACATGCATACCAAAGAAACAGACATCTGCTCCATCAATGTCCTCGAATGCAAAAAGGGCTTTAGTCCTGTATGGGAATGACTCGGACATCTCGCCGCTGTCCACAAATCTGGAGACAAAAGCACGAGTTAATACAGGAGCTGCGAATAATGTGAATCTGTACAAATCAAATGAAAGCCTATACTCACAGATGTCTGCAACAAGCTGATAGCTAGATAGCATTTATTTCATCATAATTATTAGCTTAATCACTGTTAGCTTCCATTTCAACACTATTTTATTCAGGAAATTTTAAATTACAGGCAAAAATCTTTTGTTTTAAAAGCATTTATAGCTTTAACTATCCATTACTCCATTCTTTACAATTCAGTAAATCGAAAAATTAATTCACAAATAAACACTGACACCTTTCCTTATCTCAAATAATGAAATGTTGCAGGTTTTACCAGACGCAAGATTTCAACTTGAATTCCCAAAACGCCTTGATCTAGTTGACAAACAAGAGCTGATGTAGGTAAAACCTAGCTCCAGCTCTGGATGAAGAGTGTTGTACCTGGACTTCATGCCTGGTTTGACCTCCACGACTTTATCAGATACATGAACAACACGAATGAAGACCTCTCCAGACTCTGGGTGGGCCTGTCGCTTTAAGAAGTCGTTCACCCTTTGCTCCAGAAAAACCCCCAACTTCGTTTGGGGCAACCCTGTGGGACAGTTAAGTTAGTCAACAACTGTATAAAACAGCCAGCACGAAATGACAAATATAAAAACTTCTGTTGGTAAGTGTACGTCTAACACACTCTGAACAACTGCAGGGAAAGACATCAAGCTGGAGGAAAGCCAACACAA